TAGGGCAAAGTGTATTAACATTTGGAAGATCTGCTCAATGAATCAATAGTTTCCAAGTGCCAAATGCATGACGTTACAAAATCATGCATGGGAAAAAGTTTCAGTCAAAGTGCAAGGTACACCAATGGATTTTAATGCTAACTCAATGCAAAGTCTCACTGATATGGTTTCAGATTCTATATTGCAACTAATATTTTAGGAACTACCTTGTTTGATTTTGGTTCAGTGTTCAATAATAAGTCCATAGTCATATAAAAAAGCTATTAAAATATTTTCCCCCTTTATAATGACTTATCTTCATGAGGATGAATTTTCTTCACTTACTTCAAACAAAACAATATACCAAACAGATTGAGTAGAAACAGATATGAGAATCCAGCTGTTTTCAATTAAGCCAGACATTAAAGATTTATAAAATATGTAAAACAATGCCAATCTGATCACTAAATTATTTTTTGAAAAACAATTTTCATAAAATATGTATTATTTGTTAGTATAAAATTGGTTTATTTAAAAATAGAAGATATTTTTGTATTTTATCAGTTTTCATTTTTAAAAATATTAAATATTTATATAACTCCCATAAACAAAAGCTCTTTGGGGACCTCAATATTTTTTCAGAGTGTAAAGGGGTACTGAAGCCAAAAAATTTTAAAATGTTTGGGTTGTAATACTGAAAGAATTTGAGATATAATCACAAGGCTGCTCTGTTTGTGAATCACAGGGAGAACAGTAAAAGTACCATTAAGCCCAGAGTTGGGTAAATAATGCCATGTTAAGAAAAGAGAAAGGGACAGATAAAAACTGTAGAGCAATATATTTGATAGTAATCCTTAGGGGAAGAAGTAAAAACAAATTAAATAGAAAGTAAAGTGGTAACCATTAGCTCCCAACAAAAGTTCACTAAGTCATGTCAAACCAAGGAATATTTGTTTCCTTGATTATCAGAACAGGAACTGTATATAAATATTGTATTTCCCATTAACTTTTGATTAACTGTTATAAAACAGCCTAGAGAGCTGGCAGAAGATTAACCAATCTGCTTGAAGCAAAATGTGATACAAGTTCAGAAGTGAAATAAAATGTGACACTGAGTTGACCCTTGAACATGAGTTTCAACTACATGGGTCCATTTAGATGCAGATTTTTTCAATATACTGGAAAATTTTTTGGAGATTTGCAACAATTTGAAAAAACCTGCAGACAAACCATGTAGCCTAGAAATATTGAAAAAATTAAGAAAAAGCTAGGTATGTCATGGATGCATAAAATATATGTAGATTCTATTTTATCATTTACCACCATAGAATATACACAAATCTATTCTAAAGTTAAATTTTATCAACATTTATGCACAATGGTCCATACATGGTGCCATTTGTAGTTGAAACATAAAGATGTACTATTAAATCATAACTGCATAAGATTAATTGTAGTATTGTACTACTGTAATAATTTTGTAGCCACCTCTCATTACTATGGCTGTGAGCTCAAGTGTTGCAAGTATCTGTATCTGCTTAAAACGTGTGACACTAATTATCTGTGATGCTAACTATCTTCATGTGAGCAGTTAGTCTCTCTCTCCAGTAAATTATGCATCACAGTAAAGTTATCTCTCATGGTTCTCACTTATTTTTCATCATGTTTAGTGCAATACCAGAAATATTGAATAAAATCATGGGACCCATAAAAAGTGCCACTAGTGATGCCAGAAGTGCTCCTAGGAAGCAAAGTCATAACAAGAAAATGTTGAATTGCCTGATATATATTGAAGATTGATGTCTGCAGCTGCCTACCCTTTAAAGATAAATAAATATAGCACAAAGGACCATTGTGAAAAAAAAAATTCATGAAGCCATTGGCGCAGCTACACCAGCAGGCACAAAAACCCTGCACTTTTTGTGAAATGCATTATCATCTCGTACTGAAAATGCATCTTTAATGTGGGTGCAGGATTGCTATAAGAAAGGCATACCTATAGACTCTAATATGACTTAAGAAAAAGTAAAGTCATTATATAACAACTTCAAGCAAATGGAAGTGAAGAATCTAAAGCTAAAGCATTTAATGCCAGCAAAGGATGGCTAATAATTTTAGAAAGAGGTTTAGTTAAAAAATGTCAAGATTATAGGAGAAACATCTTCTTGCTGACAAGGAGGCAGCAAACAAGTTCTCAGATGCTATTAAGAAAATCATTGAGGAGAAAAGATATCTGCCCAAATAGGTTTTTAATGCAGAAGAAAATGCCCTATTTGGGAAAAAAAATTCCACAAAGAACATTTATTAATACTAAGGAAGAGAAGTGAACACCAGTATTTAAGGCAGGAAGGGATAGACTAACCCTGTTAGTCATACTGTTTTGTGCAAATGCAGCTGGGTTTATGATCAGGACTGCCCTTATCTATAAAGCTGCTAAATGTCAAGCTTTGAAGGGAACAAATAAATACCTGCTACCAATCTTTTGACTGTACAAGGCCTGGACAACGAGAACCCTTTTTCTGTATTGGTTTCATTAGTGTGTTGCCCCTGAAGTCAGGAAGTATTAGTACCTTGCCAGTAAGGCACTGCCTTTTAAAGTTCTTTTGATACTGGACAATGGCCTTGGGCACCTACCCAGAACCCCTGAGTTTAACACCTAAGGCACTGAAGTGGTAGACTTGCCCTCAACACAATGTCTCTAATTCAGCCTCTACATCAGAGGGTCACAAGAACTGCTAAGGCTCATTACACCCAGTACTTTACAGAAAGGACTGTCAACAATATGGAAGAAAACTCTAATAGAATACCAGAAAATCTGGAAGGACTACACCAATGAAAATGTCCTTGGTTGTTACCAAAAAGGCTGTGAAGGCCATCAAGTCTGAAATAACAAATTCCTGCTGTAGGAAACTGTGTCCAGATGTTGTGCATGACTTTACAGAATTTACAGCACAGTCAATCAAGGAAATAATAAAAGAGATTGCAGATACGGTAAAAAAAAGGTAGGGGGTGAAAGGTTTCAAGATATGGATCTTGAAGCAATTCAAGAGCTAACAGACACCACACCAGAAGAATTAAAAGAAAATGATTTGATGGAGATGAGTGCTTCCAAACCAATGCCAGATGATAAGAAAACACAGAAGCAGCAGTGCCAGAAACAAATCAACATTAGATCAGCTGGCAGAAGGGTTCCAAATATTCGAAACTGCTTTTGACTTCTTTTACAACATGAACCCTTCTATGATACAGGCACTGAAACTGAAGCCAACAGTGGAAGGATTGGTACCACATAGAAACATTTTTTGAGAATGAAAAAACAAAAAAGTCGAACAAATTATGACATATTTTTGTAAAATTATACCAAGTGTGCCTGCATCTCCTGACACCCCTTCCATCTCCTCCACCATGTTCTCCTCTGCCACACCTGAGATAGCAATACCAACCCTTCCTCTTCCTCTTCAGCCTACTCAACATAAAGACCACAAGGACAAAGCCTTTTGATGATCCAATTTCACTTAATGAATAGTAAATGGTTTCTCTTCCTGATGATTTTAATAACATTTTCTTTTCTCTACTTTACTTTATTGCAAGAATACAGCATATAACACATATATGTGTTAATTGACTGTTTATGTTATCAGAAAGGTTTCCCGTCAACAGTTAGATCTTATTATTTCTGCTCTTGCTTCTTTCAGGTCTTCCCTGACCATCCCTGCTTATGACCACTGGGACTTTCTATGAACCTTATCTTGTTTCATTTATCTCTATAGAACCATTTGACAAAAAAAATATTTAAGTGCTTATTTGCTTTTCTCCCACCAACGGTCCCCACAGAATAAGCTTCATGAAGGTAGAGATGTCCTAGTTATTCACTCAGTGCCTTGAACAGTTCCTAGCACATAATATACAATCAAAACCACAGAATTTGTTAAATAAATCTTGAGATTATAAGTACAATTCCTTTACATTATAGATGTAAAAATGACTCCATAAATCTGGAGGTAAAAAGGAACCTAAGAAGAACAGATGTTACAAAGTCCATGCAACTATTGTCCCTATTTCACAGTAGTTAAGAAAACTGGCTTTACACACAGACAAACTTGGATTCCAGTCCACTTATTAGTAACATCATGGGCAAACTAACCTCTTCATGCCTTAATTCACCCACTATAAATTAGGAATGATAACAGCACCAACTTAATGTTATTTAAGTGATTAAATTTGATAATGTGTGTAAAATGCTATAGCAACAAGTATTTAATAAAAGGGAACTAATACTATCATTATTATTACTACTATCATTATCATAAATCATCTCACTCAGGCTTCATGACCTATTTTCTAATATTTCCCAACCAATTTATGGTAAGACTGACCACCTAGTTGCTAAGTCCATACAACTATGAAAGAAGCAAATGAGAAAGCTAAAACAGTTGCCAGAAGCAAACGCAGCAAAAAAAAAAAAAGGAAGGAAGGAAAATGAAAAAGTGTAAAGACCAGATTCCCAAGGTACTGCATTACAGCACAATCATAATGTCCATAAAGATGATGCTTAGCCACTAAGAAAAGGGCTACATTCCATTCAGTGTACTATTTTAAGATGGCAAGAAAAATATAATTCTAAAATTACGAAGATTCACTTCAAAATAGCTTATACAAACTTTTGGTGTAAAAGATAAACTTCCATTACCTTCAAAATGTAACTTCTAGAGAAAAACAGTAAAGTAAATGAGGCATTATTTATAAACGGCTTGGATATCTCTGCTGTAAATACATATCAGTGTAATTTATGCCAATCTCTCTAAGGCTTTTCTGTGAGATCACTTTTCTGCCATACTATGTAACGCTGTATCTCAAGTGTGGATTTCAGGGAGGTGGTAAATAGTTCCATTTACTATCTCAGTGATATTGCTACCACTTTGTAACAAATCTGCATTTATTAATCCTATTCCCTTTAGCAATGGAATAACCAAGGCCCTCTGTAAGAAAATCAAATTTCAAAATCAAAAACACATTCCAAATTTCTTAAAAGATATTTTTTTGTTCAATTCCTTTGTAAAAACATTGGTCACCATTTAACATACAGTGGCAACAAAATGCACCCAATTTACATGCATCAACAAGTCAATAAATCATAATACATGGACAACACAAATTTCAAACAAACACTACTAAAGTAGTTCATGTTGCATTTAACTATAGTTCTATAGAGAAATAGCCAATATGAGAAACAAACAGTTCCAGTTTCAACCTGAAATAAAGTTCTTGGAGGCAAGTAATATGAAACAACGATCATATGAAGTTTTTATCTTATGGGGAACCATTCTTCAGAAATCACTTTTTGCAAAGGCCCAAACTAGTGTAGAACGAGATGTTGGAAAAATATATACCTTCAGTTAAGCACAAGCAGGCTCCATTCTGAAAATTAATTACCTGAATGATTCAAATTTTTATTGTGTCCATAAATGAAATACCTTTCAATGTGAAGGTTATATATTCCACGTTTTGACACCTTAAAAATAATTCTGCAGATGTTCAATTAAACTGACAATTCCCAAGGATTAGATTATTTTCAAGAGTAAAATAAGAAAAACAATGATCAAAAGCCCTTTCTAAACTCACAGGCAAGGTTTCTGATATGGGATTTAATTAATAAGAAAAGTTAAGCACCACAATAAAATATTTTTTTAGAAAAGAGAAAGGACTACCATCATTATACAAGCTAGGGAAAAAAGCACTTACACATTACCAAAAAAAGAAAGAAAGAAAAAAAAAGCACTCTAATCCCATCAATCTGAAATTTAAAAAAAAAAATCATTTGGTGTCTGTGTGTGGTATTATATGGAAGATACAAACCAAAAATTCTGTTTGAGATATTAAGTTATATAATTCTAATTTGATCCAACAAGAATGTTATATTATTTGTGTATAATAAGATTGCTATATCTTTATTTTTGTATTGTAGAATGTACTTTCTTCTTTCAAAATCTATGATTAAAGGATAGCACTTAATAATTATGAAGTGCATAAAAGAGAAGTTATAATAAACTGCTTTGTGGAAAAAAATATCTTCTCTGCAAATAAGAATGTAAAGTAATTATGTGCAAATAAAACTTCAAAATAAAATTACTATAAATACAGCCATCCTGTAAGCTTGTCTTCTTTTGCATATATTTAGCAACATAAATAATTTCAAATAGCCAAAATATTATTTAATTTTAATTTCAGTTTCTCTCCTTTAAGATATGTTTTATTACTCTGTTACAAGTAAGAGTCATTTTTTAGCAAGTGTAACAGACCACACACTAAAAAACTTTAAGGGTTCAGAAAACCAAAATTTATAATCCATATATGGTTATATTTAAGTCAGACATACAAGATTAGAAATAAGTAACTTCAACCTAGAATATGCTTTGACCACCACAAAAGAAGAAAAAAGATCACAAAAGGAAGAAAAGATTTCCCTTCATGTAACTTTAGACTATGTAGCAAAAAAGTAAAATATTACATATTTTCCCTTCAAAAGAAATTATTCAGAAATAAAATTCACTAAGCAAAATATAAAGAGATTAGGATTATGAGTATGAAATATTCAAACTCATTCCATTCAGATGTTTTTAGATGTGAAGATGACACTCTGGAGGAAAAAAATCCTTCTCAAACACTATAATTTGTATTTCATTAACCTACATCACTTCAACTTCACCACTTATACCATAAACCTTCTTAACAGGTCCCATTCGCTACTTCTCTAAAAAAAAAAAGTTTTAGCCTCTTAATTTCCAAGTGTCATGTCAAATCCCTTAGTTCACCATAATTCCACAATCCCCATTTAAAAGATTCTAAAATAATCATCTTCTTCCCCTCAGGGGTCAGAAGCAACCATATAAGTATTCAAAATTGGGAAATTAAAGGTAAAAAAATCAACTAGAAATAAGTACACTTGTTATATATGGTTTTATGTAGTAGGGAGACCACATAATTGCTCTTTCTGATTAACCTCTGGCTCTTAAGACAGTAAAGTCAGAAAATTGAGTAACAAATACTTAAAATCTGCATCTGCATCCATTTTGAATAGATGTGAGAATTAAGAATATGACTGAAATTATGAGATTGTAAATGTTTACTGTGAAACAGTACAAAATTGATGTTGTCAAAAAGGGCGTAAAAAAATCTTTAACTGATATTAAACATCTTAAGGAATTTCGAAAACTCTCAAGGTTGAATTGTAATCATCAGGGAACAACAAGAACAAAAAAATGCTTTCATGCATGTACACATATTAAGTAACAAATAAGCAAACCCCAAGTCAATACAGTACATCAATGACCAATACTTAAATAATATAGATATATAAAGAGAAAGAAAAAATAAAATGTTGACTGCCATTGATGAAAAAGCATTTCAACAATTTACACAAAATAATACTAAACATTTATTTTAAAAAGATGTTCTAAGAAGATCAAGCCACAATAAGTTAGTGTTTTCCATAATACATGCTAAATTATTTGATCCCATATCTATAAATTGTTACTCTCTTAATTCCTAAATGTTGTGACAGCATATTTTAATAACTGAGGTACATTAGTTTACATCTTTTTATAGGTATTCTAAGATTAATTTTTCTTTTCCAGTTTTTCATCTTCTTCACCTCCTCCAAGGAAAATCAAAGGAAACATTCCTAGAATGCAGCCAATTGTTACCCCAACAGCTTTGCCCTAAAGAAACAAAAGAGAACATTTTTTAAAAGTTACTTTATCTCTGAAAGAGGTATCTTTGCTTAAGTATCTATGATACTAGATAATTACTATATATTATAAAATTCAACTGTGACTGCATTTCTTTTGATCATAGTAACTTAAATATAAAAATATGCTACCAAAATGTTATAAAACAAATAATATTTGAAGTTCAAAGAACCAGAAAATTTTCGCTATAAAAATAACATCAGAGAAATATTCAAATAGAAAACTCTTTAAAAAAATTGTACATATATTTTAGTGCCAGAAGATAGGAAGGCAGGAAAAAAATCTTACCAACTATACTCAATATATTTGGATTTTCCATCCTTCATACATATTCCTTTTTAATATTTATCCCTGTGTATACCTAATTATAGGTAGATATAACCCTTATGTAAATTCACCTTTGTTTTCTACCTCACTCTACCTCCAACTGCCACACGTTATAATAAACTCTTTGCCAAAAATAATGAAAGTAAGCAAATAGGTGCTCATTTTGTTTGCACATATTCTTCCTGTGTTTCAACTGAAAACTAAACATTTCCCTAATATGGTGATGAACCTTCTACTACTCATATTTTAAAGGGCAGTACTTATTAGAAATTTTGATACAAAAAAATAATCCAAATATGCTCCTTTAAGAAAAATAACGACTAACTATTGGCAACTGAAAAGCAACAAAAGAGTCTCAAAACTACAAATAGTATCTAAAACAAAGAACTTTAATATTGTTTAACATAAGTGATTAAAATAAAGTACAAAGTATTATAATATAAAATCCAAAATGCTCTGTTTAGGAATATCTGTCCTTAGTTCAAATGTTCTGTTAGACATTTAAAGTTATGAGTGATGAATTTAATTCCTTCTTACCTATGTGCATATTTCTATACTCTATACAGATATTTTTCATTTCTATTTACTTCTAACAAAGAAATTCATTTCAATATCTTCACTAAAACAAATTCAGTCTAACTGAATTTAAATACATTAATTTTTATGTTTTACTCTTCTTCCTCATCTCCTATTAATGTTTCAATCCATTGCTGTTTGATTTTTCCTCTCCCATTAGGTCCATGGAAATTGCTCAGAAATAATCACCAATGAGCAACTATATACCAAATCCAAAAAAGTTTCTCAGAAACTTTACTTGATTTCTTTTTATCAAGAAAAACTGATTATCATTCATTGGTTCTTAAAACTTTTTCCTTGCAAGCTTCCATAAGGCCATGAGCTCTTAGGCATTCTCTAGGGTTCTTTAATTCTGCACATTCCCTCTCAATCAATAGTTCTCAAGTTCTAGAGTGGAGCAGATTTAAAACACAAATTGTGGGCCCCATCTCCAGCATTTCTGATTCTGTACACCTGCAGCAGACAGATTTTTAAGGTGTCCCCTGTGACCCCTTCCTCATGGTATTTAAGCCTTTGCATAATCTCTTCCCCTTGAGTGTGGGTAGGAAGCTCAAACTTGCTTCTAACAATAGGAAAGGTGATGGGATGTTGCTCTGTGATTATATTGCATTATCTAAAGACTCCATCTTGCCAGCAGACTCCTTCTCTTTCTCCATTGTTGGCTCTGAAGAAGCAAGCTGTCATTTTGTGAGTGCCTAATGAGAGGACCACATGGCAAGGAACTAGAAGTGAGCTCTAGGTGGTGAGGGAGGCCTCTAGGAGATGAGAGCAGCCTCTGGCCAACAGCAAGCCAGAGGCTGGGTCCCTCATAGCCACAAGGAAATTAATTTGCCAAAAACCTGAGTGAGCCTGGAAGCAGATCCATCACTAGTTGAGCCTCCAGACAGAACCAAGTCCTAGTTAGACACTGATCGCAGCCTTCCAGAGGACTCATCTAAGCTATGCCTGGTCTCCTGACCCACAGAAAATGAGATAAAATACATTTGTGTTGTTTTAAGCTGCTATGTAATTTTTTATACAATAGGTAGGTCTAAGAGAATTTGCATTTCTAATAAGTTCCCAGGTAGTGTTTATTCTGCTTGTCCTGACATCACATTTGTAGAAACACTGCCCCATACAATCTCATCTTCTCCCATGGTTTTAACTAATACCTACCTTTTCAGTGAGGCCTGCCTACAGTGACCCTCCTATTTAAAACTTTAATCTTCCTCCATTCTAACACTCCCAACTTTTTTACCTCTGCTTTCTCTTTTTATTTCCATAACACTTATGAACTTCTAATATACTAAAAATGTTACTTATCAGATTTGTTTATTGTCTATCTTGCTGCTGCTGGAATATAAGATCAACCAGAAAAAAATATCTTGCTTTATTAACCAATGTATTCAAAAGTCTTAGATCTACATAGAGTAGGTAAACTAAATATTTGTTGAATGAATGAATAACAATACCCATCATCTCTAATTCAGACCTCTCTAACTCTTGATCTTTAATTCAAATGCCTACTAGGTGTCATCACTTGAATGTCCTACTAGCATCTCAAATTCAATGTGTCTAAAGCAGAACTCATTATCTTCTCTTATAAATTTGTTCTTCCCATTTTGCCTTGACTTAATTAGTAGCAACATGATCTATAATATTTCCTTCCTATTTAAAACTTTTCATTGGCTTCTCATTACTGAGATATGAGGCTCAAGCTCCTTAGCATAGCACATACAATGCCCTTCCTGTCTGATCCATGCTTACTTCTCCATTCCCTAGAATTCCCTCATTCATCTAGTGAATGTCTCATCAATAATTCAAAAATCAGATTAGATTCAATAATCACTAAGAAAATCTCCCCACCAAAAGAAATTTCTCCCCTCAAAGTATTAATTCCCTTATTTGTACCATCGTTATATCTGGCACATAATTCTATTACTGCATATGTCATATTAAATTATAATTTGTTTACATGTCTGGTTCTCTACCTATACAAGTTCCTCAAGGATAACTATAATTGATTATTTATTTTATGTCCTTCAGTCTCTAACACATAACAGATACTCTTTAATACTAAATGAATTGTATAAAGATTTTTTTAAAAAATCGGAAAACTGCAAAGGCCTAGACAATTTTTGTTAATAACTCCATTCAAATCAACTTTAGCCTCAACTTTCTCAAGGGCTTGAACTATACAGGGTCCTGGCTACCCAAATTCATTATCATAAACCATACAAATTACTTACCAAATGTGTACTAACACGTGTTTGCCACATATCAACTTGCTTTGGTGTGAGATCAGGAATTGACAGGCCTAACCTGGAAGCCAAAGCTTCAACATAGCCTGCAAGTCTTTAAAAAAACAAGAGGACAGAAGTTTTTTAAAAGACCACGCAAATGTCCTCAGATAGTAAAAAACTAATTATTACAAAGAGAAAAAAAAATTTTATACCTATACTTATTAGCACTCTAGAAACACATGAACATTTTTAAACTTTTAATTTTTTATTGTGTATAAATATATCATTTAAAAATATTTTCATATTAATATATTTAATAAAAATATAAATTGACTTAGAGCAATTATTTTCTACTATTACTTTAAAAGAATAATTCAAGGTATATAAAACATTTTAACAAAGGATTACAATTTCTACACTTATTCCAAATCTAGAACAAAGCATTTTAACATACAATATAAATTAATAACTGTTCCCAGAAAGCAAAACTTTCCAAAATTCATCAGATTGGTAAACTAAGAAAAATTGCCAAGAATTTTCAGGCCAATCTCAAGTATTTTAATAATTCTAAATTGCCATCATTTATTAAATACAATCTTACTTTATGAACTGTAAGAAAGAAAAAAATTTGTCAATATGCTATGTATATACTATATAACTATATAACTATAACTATATAATATATATAACTATATATATAACTATAACTCCACTATCATATATATTAAGAATGCATTAAGAATGTGCATCTAAGAATCCATAAAATATGGTATTTGTTATTTAATGATACCAAATAAAAAGGGCAAGGGAGAAACAGTTCTTAAATATAATGACTCCCAGCAAAGTCTTCATCTCTAATCAAAAATAACTGTTTTATGATACAATCTAAAACTAAATGGCTTTAAAATCTATTAGATTATTTGCTTCTACTAAACATAATAGAAAGCTATACAGTAGCTATAATATTATTAATTACCTTAGTGTTGGAAACTGGGAAGTGGAATGTTTAAGAGATGATATCATGATAGATTTATGACAGGAATTCTAAGAATATGAAATCCCTGCCATGGTCCTAAAACCCAGAAACTTTGTTTTTAACTGGCTTTGGCCTCAAACTCCAGTGCAGAAGTCTAATATAGAAGGTTAGATCACTTATAAAGCTTCCTTTGCCTATACCATAGGGCTAAGCACAAACCCATCTCAAAACCTACCGCTCAAATGAGCCATGGAAGGAAGAAACAAAATCAAAGACAGAGCAAGAAAGAACATGTTTATCATAATAATTAATGTCAACTTTGTCTAACTCATATTCTCCAGACTTCCTCAAGATCAGGAAGCAGACCAGGCCATCTGCCACTTGGAAGAGAAAATGTAAAGAGAAAGAGAGAAAGAGCTGGCTTTTTCTAAGTAGACATCCTCAGTTTGTTTCATCTTTCCTGCCACATGAAAAAAAGACAGCAAACCCATATATGATTTGGCCTTTATTTCCTTTGAAAGTTCCACTCTCAGAAAACATGCTCAGTCAGTATCCTCAAATTTGAGCCACATTCCTTATCTTTGGGCTTCCTGGAAGGTTGGTGAGGTAAAACAATGACAGGCATTCTTGCTTTTAATCCTGTCTTACCCTGGAGATGTCTACAAATGTATATATTAAGTCCTTCAGAAAATTTAAATTCCATTTGCTTACATGATAGTAAGTATAGTATAGTATAGTATAGTATAGTATAGTATAGTATAGTATAGTATAGTATAGTAGTTTTAGAATGAATTTTTGCATCTATCAGAATCACTTGTGAAAATTATTAAAAACAAATGCCAGGGCCCCCTCACCAGAGACACTAATTCTGTATGACTGGGGTACAACCCAGGTGTTTCTATTTGATGCACACCAAAGACTTAGTACTACTGATTTAGAAACAGTAAATTTAAAAATTAATTCCAGAACACAAAGAAAAATAAGTGTCTCTTTTTTTATGTTTCCCAATTAAAGGAAAATGGAGAAAAGAAAGAGAGCAAGTGGATAAATGAACCTACCCAAGTCCAGCTAAATCTGACACAAGGTTTCCCAAGGCGGCAGCTAAAAATTTGAAAAATGGGCACACAGGATTGTTACATAAGTCAGAAAAATCATTTTAATACATCACTATGTAATCAATGAAGCACTGGTCTGGAAGCATACTCACATTTTGCAAACTATAACAACTATATGCAAAATAACTCACTGGATAACTCTTAATTTCAAGATTTCAAAATAGAACACAGTTCTGAAATTGTAATATTCTACCACCATGAAGTAGTGAGTTTTTTTCAGTTATGGCAGCCAATTTCCATTTTGTTTTCAATATTAAAACACTTATACGATATTTTGTAGTTGTATCTTTCATATAATATTTAAGCATACTTAGAAGTTAATGAGTAGATCCATATGCTCTGAAATTTAAGAAAATCAAGAAGAAATATTTATTTCATTAACCCATCTACCTCATGCTTTGTATACAATAAACACAACAAAGAACAATCCCCAAATTTCACCTTGATGAAGACAGAGTGGTAAATGGTGCAGAGAAAGATAGCTTTTTAATCTCGTATTTCCTTCTCTGACTTTTTTCTACCTAACTGGGAAATTAATTTAATAGAGACAAGGAGTAGAAATTTTTGAGGGTAACAATGAATTACCAGAAAATTTGTTTTGGTATAGTCAATATAGCAGATTTTTGTTACTCATTACATAGCATAGAGCACCTAAAATTTCTCAGAAAAAGAAAGTGCTACATGCACTAAACTAAGAATCAGAAGAATAGGATTAAGGAGATTAAATTTATAGACAATTCAGTGAATAAACTCATTCAAATAATTTATTCTCTTCTAAACCTAACCTACCGAAATGTTTTATAAATATACAGACAATAGAATAATAACATTTACTATTATTAAATACCTGCCATAGTTGAAATCCCCAAAATAATTCCAATAGACATCTCAATATGGGTTCCCTAAAAAATGATTATGAAGAAATTAATCTTAAAAATTAAAGCTGAAGTGATTATAGAAAAATAGCAAAGCATTAAGAACAGATAAAAGTTAAATCAACATGTTAGTGCTACAAAGTTGCATACATTAAATATGCAGAAATATGTATATGTTAATATAATATAGTCAATTCACTTCATTACTAAATATATGCATTCATACAGAAATAATATCAATAACATTTTATTTATTAAAATTAGGCTTTTATAAAAATAAAAATACCAATACATATAGAAATGCAATTCATCAAGATTCTAGAATTTCTACTTTTCTACCACAGAGAAAGATGCATAAAGCTCTCTGAACACAAAGATTAACTCACACAATTTTAAAATTCTGAATGATTTACGTATATTATTGTTATTTACTCTAATAAGATTAAAAAGACAGACTAAACCAATTTCTAGGGAAACAGGTTTGTCAAATTATCCGTATAACACCTAGTTCTTTAGCCATTAAATAAGTAGTGAAACTGTATGATTCATTCATAAGCAGCAAAAGCATTTAGTATGATAGATCTATAGTAAAAAATGAGGCTCCACTATATTTCCACTGAATTTGTTTATTGAGAGAGTTTAAGATTTCTACATCTATATCATCATTCCTCTGAAGAAAAGGGGTTCACATTTTTACTTCCACTTTAAAGATAAGGAACTGAAGTGAAGATTAAACTATTTTAATGGGTTACTACATAGAATAAAGAAGAAATCCTAGGATCTATTGTTAATTCAGTTCTAATTCCTGAGCAATGCTGTCATAAGTGTATTTCATTTTCAAGAGCTCGCCTGAATACTGATGCTTAAAAATTTCTTAAAAAATCTTCAAATCTCAATGATACTTGTGGGGGAAAAAAGAATAACCTGTTATGTAGAAATATTGCATTATTCATCAATTATTTATAAAACTGAAAAGAACCTAGGTTAAGGTTTCCTCAATTTTCTTTCCCTGAGGACTTTTGGTTCCATCCCTTTAAGATATAATTCTTGCTGGATTTGGACCAAAGAGCCTGATGCACAAAAGTCCAAAAGTCTTTTGTTCTGATGTACAAAAATTAAAAACAAGGTTGTAAATGTATCCCAAAAAATAGATTTTAGAAGAACAAAAAGAGAGAAAGAAGAGGAAAAAACAAGCACAGAGAAAAAAAACGAAGATGTGTATCTTTATATATGAATGCAAAATAAACCTGGAGCACCAATATAGAAGAGAAGTACCTGATAGCTACAGCCTATTAATATAATAAATAAATACAGCGTCTTTCACAGCAACAAATCATTGGCAATGACGCAAGAAGAATCTCTTTACAATACACATACTTAAAAAGTATTTTCTGCAGGATCTACTTCTATAAAGAAAAAAAATAAAAAAGAAAAAAAAAGTATTTAAGTGCTTAATCATTTAGTTAAATTTATAACAGCATAAAAAGCACCATATTGGGTCAAAAATGGTTTGAGGACAATGGACTATCCATTTATTTACGGTGTCCCATAGTTACATCAAATTTTGTGTTAACAGGCAAGGTAGAAATTATAAATAAATCTAATACTAGTTGTCTTGAAGTTATACCAGGTTCATCATCTTGACACAATTAATCTACTCTCGAATTCTAATAAATTCTATCCTAATTAAATTGTAAGAAAAGTAATCCCAAACACTAAAATATGTTATAAAAAGCAAGCCAATAATATAAAAATATAATAAAAAATTATTAAACCAAAGGCTTATATGAATAGCAGCCAACATAAAGCTCAAATCTACTATAAGCAATTACACAGGAATTTGTTTTTATGACTACAATTAGGGTAGTAGCCAGGAGAGTACACCTAACAGGAAGAAGGAAAACACCAAATGTCTATGGAACAAGAGAAAAGAAAAATCAATTATCTCCTTAACTTACTGTCTGAAAACAGTCATAACTGCCCCACAACGTGAGGAGACAATCGGTATTTTAAAAAAATTAAAAGGTGAAAATCATTTTTAAAATAATAGCCACTTATTTCCCTTCCCATAGATTCTACAGTTATATATGTGGTTTAGTCTCAGCAGTCTATTACAAACTTTCACTGGAAAATTTCACTGTCTCTGAATTAGTGTGCATTTATCACAGGAAAATATTTTTGCCATACTTGTTACTATTAATCAAGTATTGAAGTAAGTGGTTTGAACATTTATTTCAGTTTTATATAAATAAAAACTGGTGATAAGTCCCTGAAACAGGATTTCAATATAAACAGAATAACAAGTATCATTAAGAAAAAGTATTACTAACTGCTAAGATGGAGTTAACCATCTCAGGCCCAGAAAAACAGTGCACACTCAGTTATACTAATAATGAGGCACAGACCTGGGTAACACAATACAGTGGACAATACCACAAAAATTTGAATCTAGAATGTGGGTGTTTGGTTTGATAGCTGTATTTAAACACAGATATGTTACTTTAGGTATTTACTTCAAAGAACTGAAAAGACCATACTGTGAAGGTCTTTTGAAGGATCTAAGAAGCTATCTAGTTTCTCTACTCTGATCTCTCTTCAAAATCTCTGTATACTCCTTTTTTGCAAAATATATCATCTAAACACTTCTCTGTAGCAAAGCATAATGTTTTAGCATTTGAATATCTAAGGTCTGCCCTACTGAGGTGAAAACAAATGGTTATTAAGATAGTAGTATAGGTAGGTGCTGTTAATAAAGAGAATCTAACATGTTGAGAGAAATTGTGTAAAATTGGAAGAAACATTTCTCACAGAGAAGCTTTAATTCAGAAAATCTATTCAAGAATACATCAAGTCTTAATCATATCTTAGAAATTCATCATAATGGGGTTTTCATTACCATTAGATCTGATTTACATTAACTATTTAAATAATCTAGCCAACTCAGATTTTAGTAGTTTCAGAAAAGACAGTGTGGTTCTAAATAGCTGAAGAAGTTTTTTACACTCACAGATATACAAATTGGACAATTTTATTAAAATACCATAATCAGCCAAAACTAGCATTCTGAAGTTATATTTTAGGGCCACTCATTTAATTTGTACCAACCTTTAGAAATCTGGTCTTTCCAGACTACTCCGCTAAAGATTTCTCCAATGGTGCGTATCACCTTCCAGTTGCGTGTGCGCATGCTACAGCATCTTCTGTGACTGTTCACATAGCAGAGTATCTTCCCTGCTGTGTGAACCCTGCACATTTCCTCAACCAGGAAAACGACCGGACTTTCTGGATATCTGATACTTGTCAATTCAGACATATAGCTAGACTATACAGCAAACAAAACCATTCTTGAATGAACCGATTTTAGATATTCCTTAAGTAAATTTTATAACCTATACAATGTAAATGACATTTTTATCCCTACTTTGAAACCAAATCTTCTATTTGTTGATTTGTAGTACATATGATCTCTAAAACACCAAAAACAAAACAAAAACAAAAAAAGCTTGATTCTCTCATATATATTTTTCACACATTCAAAAATCCTAAGATCATTCAGGGCTTTTTTTGAGCAGTCTCCTATACTACAGTTACCATTTATAGAATTTTTAAAAAAGATAGAGTCAGTGAAGCTGACAACAAATTCTGAGTCTTAACTCAAAATAAGTTTCTAGTTATGAAGCATTGCAATTTTCTCAAAGGAGTTTAAAGATCCTCACCTGAGAACTCATAAATTGGTGTCCTAAGTATTTGATACATTTTTTTCCTCCCAGAATATAACAGCCCTTCAATCCACTTACTAATATCTGAAAAGAATAACTTCACACCAAGCACTCTAAAAATATGCATTAAAAGTTGATAATTGCCTTTTTTTTTTTTTTTTTTTTTTTGAGACAGAGTCTCACTCTGTTGCCTGGGCTAGAGTGCCGTGGCATCAGCCTAGCTCACAGCAACCTCAAACTCCTGGGCTCAAGCAATCCTCTTGCCTCAGCCTCCCGAGTAGCTGGGACTACAGGCATGTGCTACCATGCCCGGCTAATTTTTTCCATATATTTTTAGTTGTTTAGCTAATTTCTTTCTATTTTTAGTAGAGACAGGGTCTTGCTCTTGCTCAGGGTGGTCTCAAACTCCTGAGCTCAAACAATCTACCCACCTTGGTCTCCCAGAGTGCTAGGATGACAGGTGTGAGCCACCGCACCCAGCCAATAATTGCCTTCTTAACTGGACTATGATCAACTCATTTTACTTGGACAAAATAAGAGAGAAGTGGATAGTTTTTAACTGATTATGGCATTTTTCTAATATGCATATTAGAAACTGTCTGATTTATATATCTGTGAAAGTGAGAAACTTATTCAACTGTTTAGAACCACACTGCCTTTTTTGGAACTACTAAAATCTGAGTTGGCCAGATTATTTCAATAGTTAGTGTAAATGTAATCTAATTGTAACAAAAACCCAATTCTTATAAATTTATAAGCTGTAGTTAAAACCTGATGTGTTCTTGAAAGTGGGTAGAACACTGGGCAGCTTTAGAAGAATTACAATTTAATCACGGATCTATCAGACCTTAGAATATGGATCCAATATTGGTATCGATTAACAAAAGATGTTATATAATAGTAAGACAACTAAATCAGCCATCCCTAAGATTAAACAACACTTTTATGGAGCACCCTTCCATTAAAATGACCACAGCAAAGGGGAACTTTTTCTTTCCCTAACACCACAATAGAACAAAGGGGAATAAACTCAGTGTTATGAATTGAAATCTAAGACATTTTTCGGTTAAATGTCTAGACTGAAGCTTAGACTATATCAAAATACCCTTTGAAACATTTTTACATGGGAAAATGGAAAAAAGAACTAATCAAATAACCTATATATGATAATTGCCAAGACAATTAAAGAATATCAGAAAATTTTACATATTTTTTCTTTAATAAGAATGTTGAAACTAGAACAGCATAATATGGATCCTAAATGTTTGTTCTAAATGCTTTTACCAAGACTACCTAAATGTTTTACCAAAAATGTTAGTGATTAATATATACAATGCCTTAAAATTGAGCTATAATCTATTAATGATTAACTTGAAATATAATAAAAATAGCTTTGTTCATTATGTTAATCAAAACTTTATAGTTATAATATGCAAATTATTAGGAAAATGTGGACCACATTAATTTCTTCATTAACTCAAAATAGAAGCAGTGAGAAAAAGAACTTACTGCAACAATCATAATTGCATTATCCAAAAAGCCAAACCCTATGAAAGGTATCGCATTGTGGATGAATACTGAAAAACATCAAAAACAGGAAAATATATTTTAAGATTTCCATAACTTTAGAATGACAAAAATAGACCATATAATCAAAATCTCCTAAATAGACTTGATAAACTTTAAAATTTGCATTTCATTTCCCAGAGCCAACAAATCTTACTACTGTTATAAGTTTAACTGGCAGAAGCTATACTGGGAAAAACAAAACAAATTTAAAAAATACATAACATTTAAAAAAATAATTGTGTTAGGCTTTTCTGTTTTCTTACTGGCAACACACACACAAATATATATATAGTTAACAGCAGAACAAATTAGTAAACATATAGGAGTACCATATTTTACCTGATTAATTGCTACTGACATCAATCTTATGCCTAAAGACTGAGATCATAAAATTAATCTCTGTATTAAAAATAATGAAAAATGCACTAAATCAAATTTCAGGGAAGTTATTTGGTTGCTTTTATTTACTAATCTATTTTTTAAGGAAATGTTAGAAAAAGGTGATTAACTCGTCTATATTAGACATCTATATGCAGCCTTTTCCCCCCTCACAATTCATCAATATCCCTAAATGCTACTGCAAACTATAAATGATCATATTTGATTTAAATTGAACTCTAACTTCATCCCTTCCTACCAAAGGCACACCTTATCTCATCTAGCTGGTACATAATCTGAATGATCTATTAGAAGTGTAACTAGGAAGAACTAATACCTATATATTTTTATACATTTAGCTTTATTTTTTTCATATTTACATCTTCAGGAGAATGCCTAGGGCATAGTAGATGCTCAATAAATAATAATTAAGTTGAGGACCACTAACCTGGAAAGGAAGAGAATTCCCGATTGAGAGAATTGAAGGCAGACTGTGAAACAGATTAAAAGCTGGGAACAGGTAAAAGACTTTATTCTAATTAATCTATCAAATTGCCAAGTTATAGTCAACATCAGTTCAACTGAGGACTTTTTTCAACAAACATTAAAATCCTGAGTTTTAGACTACATCCAAAAATAGTTCCTTAAAACCAATTGGTTATTATATGTGTGCATTGATTTTAGAGACTTTTTTCTTTTAATGCAGTTAAGTCCATTAAAGCATAATTAATATAATCCAGAAGTTATGAAAGATTGATATTACTATATTGAGATATTACTATATTGATATTACTATATTGATATTACTATCAGGGAAGGCTAATAAACAATTAAAAAAAAAAGCACTTTTACCCACAACCACTATCAAAGACTAAGATCATGGGAAAATATTAATAGTATGTATAATACAATATATACTATTATATGTAATATTATTACAGTTATACAATATTACATAAAACAGTATATAATGTATATATAATAGGTCATATCAGATTCCTTCTTGTTATTAGGTAAGAATGTCCAAGGGCAACATCTTTAATTACAAAGAATATTATCTTAAAAGCTACTAAAGATGATAAAAATCAAATAGCACATTAATGAAACGGGATTTTTCATTTAAAGAGTCTATCCTTAGTTCTCTGACTTATTGCCTCACTGAACATTCAAAATTTTATAAGAAGCAGATTCTAAAACCTATACATAATAAAAATTTAATAGGTTAAAAGAGTATAATGAAATTTTAAAAATTCACTAAATGAAACATCGAAGAGAAAGCTACTTAAGGATGGCAAAGTAATGACGAAACCAGTTGGAATCACTTACTATTTGGGAGTTTATTTGATGGCATCTCTAAAATTGGCCAGTTACAAATATCTTAAAATTAGGTGTCTGGGCCATAAAATTAAGACTACACTAATAGCTATCCTAGTAAAAACTTGGTTAGTAAAAATGGCATACTGCTACAATAATCACTTTGGACAATAAGATATACTATGTTTTTAATGTTTATACCTAAATAAATGTGTCCTATAAATAAATATTTATTTTAAATCTTAAGGAAAACAATAATTTTTCAAAAAGTTAAAGTAAATATGTACTGGGCACTCCAATGGGCACATAAGATACAAAGATAAACTTGGTTCCCAGCCCTCAAGGAGTGTTAGGTATGATAACACAGCCCTATAAATAGTTAATTTCAATATGACTTACAAAACATGACAATAGTATCATATAGTGTTATAGATATAGACTGTAAGAATCTAAACTGGGAGAATCAGGAAAGATTACTTGGGAAAAGGAGTTTTAAAGAATTCTTAAATTGTTTTTCTATGAGGAAAGTTACTAATTTCTAATATAAATTACATTCTACTTATGAAAGAAAAAAGAACTGGATACTAAATAGTTTTTTTAAATTGTATAAATTTGCCTTCCAGTACATAATGATCTCCTGCTAATTTGTAATTTCTTCAATTTCCTTTGGAAAACACTATTTTATAACTCAACAGCTGTCAGCAAATCTCATTTAATATTTACCTTTAATTTCCAATCTAATCAAATTCACTACACTGTTAAGTAATTCCTTTCTTCCATTGTCTTTATAATAAGATCCCAAATTGTCTTACATTATTTCAGTGTTAGCCTTGAATATTTATTACCATCATAATAGAGAAAAGAAAAGGCACCAGTAGCACAGTATAAGGTTCTTCTTCCCGGTGGTTTTAAACGAACTTTACTTTTTTCATTCTTACAAACAGCCAGCTGGAAGTATTTTCTCCACCAGAGAACAGTTCAACCTAATCTTAAGCCTAGAAATTCTAATTCTGCAATTATCAAACTTAAATTCAAACCAATACATCCTGTCCCCTGGGAATTAAGAAAACTTCTATCATAAGTATAATTCTATTTCTAAATGGTAATATTTTAATATTAGATATTCTATAATTTTGTGTTATATATTAAGCCAAGTTCATTAAACTTTGTGCTTCAACATAATGAATAGGATAATCCACTCTATCTGGAAAGATTTAATTGTTGACTCTTCTGTGCTATCAATTAATGACACAGTTCTTTCAAATCCAAAAGACAAATACACATATATTTAACAATTATAGAACCATTACCATATCTCAGCTGTCCTTGGGTAGGTGGTAGAGCTTCCAATTTTTCTAAAGGGGGAAAAAAGGGTGTGGGGCAAGAATTAGTTACTATAGCAAGATTTTGCAATGAAGAAAATACCAGCAGATTTACAAAGTGGGAGAATATCAGAGTTTATTCATAAATTCTCTTTAGGTTAATGGACCAGTTATCCATATAGAATATATTAATTGGTATGGATTAAATCACAAGGCAAGTAAACAAAACTGAGCTTAGTTACAAGCCTACCATGGACTCTGTAGCCCGGAGTAAATCATTTGTTTTTCATTTTTTTTTAAAGCTCTTACATCTATATAAGCCTGTTTGCATTAATTACAGTAAAGGACACTTCAGAAATACAGATATCTTATTTAAGATGGCAACCCTAGATGACTCAAGAAATATATGTACACAAACATCATTGATAGTGGAAAAATAGTATATTCAAATAGACCTAAATATCCTTTAAAAAGAGGAAAAAATATTTTTAAAGCAGCTATTAATTACAGTTACTTCACTGGATTGTGTTCTGCTCCTTAATGTCCATTGATAATATACTGAAAATTTTTTGAAATCTATACTCCTGGATAATATTGTACACAATAAAACAATAACAAAAAAGTAGGGTATTATTCAAAATCACAAGTAACAATATACTATTTATAATATGTGTTATAAACATATAAACTTTTCAAGTACAAAGCAGAGTATCTTTAAATGTCATCAATATGTCTAAAAATTAGTAACTATTACACGAAGCAACCTATCTAATCTCATAAAAATAACCATCTCATCATTAGTATAAGTACAAGAGTAAACTATGGTGAAGAGGTAGAGAATTCTACCTTCTTTATCATCGACCAATCCAACAGAATTAATTGATGACATATAGAGAAGAACCCATATAATAGATCACTATAAAGATTTAGTACAAACAGATTGTCCAAGGAAACACATTACAAACTGAATATACATCTTCTAAAATATTTATTTATAATTTATGACAACACAAGAACTAAAGAATTTAGTATGAAAGCAAACAAATCTTCATTGATAATCTATATAAAAAAGGAATATATGGTCCATATTTGTGACTGGCATTTTACTTAAAAAGCACATAGTACCATAATGGCTTTACAATAAGAAATATATATACTAAAACCTAGAGTTTAATAAACTATCATGGTGTTCAGAAAGTTCTAAGAATGCAGCTTTGTTTTGTTTTTCCTTTTTTTAGAGGAGTTAAGAAATAAAGATATACTAATCTTTGTAGAATTTTACATCTGATTAAAATATTCTCCATTCTTTGATTAGCACCATTAACTCAAAATCTACTTTGAAAGCATGCAAATGGTTTTCTAAATTTCTAATTAGGAATACAGGATGCTGCTATACTCCAGAGAATTTTCTGGTGAAGTAAACATGCAAAAGTGGTTACATACCAGAACTATTTGTTAGTTGCATTACTCTCATCATCACTACAGTTCTGACATTGTGAGAAGTCCTTGTCAGTTGACTGGAACATCTTGAAATACCTAAAAAATCAACAAGCAGGACCTTCCCAATAGAATGAGAGTATACAAAGTCCTTGCTTTTACTTCTTCAAATTCCCAGCACATTGAGAAAAATATTAAAAATATTCCACAATGCCTAAGAAGAAAGGATAAGGGCTAGGCAAATGGGAAATGTGTAGTAATAAAGAGAAAGAAAAAAATCAAATAATGTAATCAATATTCCTAATCTTTCTTTCCTACTGCTCATAAAGATTAAAAGTGTAAGGCAATGAAATAATGTTAAGAGAAAAAAATACAAAATAAACGAGGTAGAGCAGGGAGGAAAACCACTGGCACAGACATTAAAGTAAAATCAAAGCACACATTCTGCCTCCTGCTTCACAAAGAACCTAAGGAGTCATAAGAGGAATCATGAAATGAATATTTCCTAGAAAGTGGAAATTTTATTGGAGAGTGTCCATCATCACAAATTATTTTTTATTATATTAACTGAATTAAAACAAAACACATTAGAAGTAAAAAAATTAACTGCACAATTTACAATAGAACTTGAAACTAAGTCCAAGGTTTCAGCAATCTATACAGGTTTTAAAATGCAATTGCTGCTAATATAACATCCCTGGAAACAGTCACAATAAGCCCCAGAAGCTTTATTTCCCCACATATATAGCTTGACTTTAATAAATTCCTTTTGACACATTATACACTACCTATACTTATATTAGAAATGTGTTCTGCTCTAATGTTTTATTAATTAGACTATGAAGTTAAAAAAAAAAACACCAGTTCTTTACATTACTCTGTGTGTGTGTGTGTGTGTGTGTGTGTGCGCACACACACATACTTTCTTCCTTTCCTGGATACTTTGAAATAATGAGATAACCATTAAGATTATACTTTACACACCATATTTGCCACAGTATTTCCAATAATGGCTGAGTAATCTTTTATCAGACCAATTCTTCTGCTTAGAACTACAAACAAAGATATAATAAATAAATACCTGAAAGCACTGGAAAATGACAAAAAGCAGGTTGATTCTGGAAGGGAATCAACATTTAGAAGAAGAAATGGTACTCAGTAAGTAAGTTTATCTGTTTGTTGCAGTTTTTAGCCTGAAGGAAGGCCCCAATTATAACATAAAAAGCAACTAAACCTCTGATAAGAACTCTTCATTCTGTCTGAAGAACCAGAGGACAGGATGCCAGGTAATCAAAGCAATTAGAAAGTGAAAAAAGAACCCTGGAAAGGATAAAGTCATAAAGGAGTAGCTCTAAATAATGTGTATATATTCCATTCAAATCTGTAGCTGACTCGTGAACCACACACGTGCAGAACAAACAAACAAAAATACCAGCTACGTGTAAAATAAATGAATATTTGAGGGCACCTCAAGAGAGAGAGTTAGTAGTTTCAGCCCAACCATTAATTGCCTGTTAAAACAGACAAACAAAAATCAACACTTTTCAAAAGAATAAAACAAAATCCAGAGCCTCAACAACATACCTAGGATAAATTCCAAAACTACTTCATAAGCAAAAAGGAAAATGTGACCCATTTTCAAGAAAAAGATAAGAGACAGACACCAATCCCATAGTAACTTCAAATGTTAGAATTAGCAGACAAAATTATATTCAAAGTATAAATGAAAATATGCTTAAATGAATGACAAGACAGGAAATCTCAGAAGAGAACCAGCAAATATTAAAAAGGACCATTAAGAAGTTCTAGAACTAAAAAATATATTATCTGAAATTATAAAATTAACTGGACAGGATTAAAAGCAGAATGAGGGTAACAGAAGAAAGAGTGAACATAACAGAGCAATAAAAATTACTCAGTCTGAACAATAGAGAATAAAAGAATTGAACAATAATAGACTGTAGTTAAATATCAATAGGTCTAATATATATAAAATTGGAGTTATAAAAGGCAAGGAGAGAAAATAGGAACAAAAAAATTTTCAATAAATAGTGGCTAAAAATTTTTCTAATTTGATGGAAGACAAATATTTCAAGATATTCAGGAAGTTCAGTAGATTTCTGAACTTCAGATAAATATAAAGAAAATTAATCATAAAGAAAAAGGTCTTAAAAGCAGTAAGAAAGGGCACGTTAAATGCAAAAAAAAAAAACAAAACAAAACAAATATGTGAATACAGAGAAAGAAAAAAGAGGTTTTGATCCAGTATTCTATATCCAGAAAAATTATCCTTCAAGAATGAAGGCAAAACGAATTTCAAGTAAGTTAAGATGTAACTTATATGTACTGTATATGTAACAAGCACATATACAGATGAAATGCAAAGAGAATATAGTTAAAAACCTAACAAATGACTTGAAGAAGAATTCTAAAAAATAGTTAATTAAGCTTAAAGAATGAAGGAAAGGAGAACAGAGAAACAAGAAAGTCAAACAGAAACCAAATAGTAAAATATTAAATTTACATCCAACCATATCGATGGCTTTATTCAATGTTAATATACTGAAAACTCCAATTAAAAGGCAGAGATTATTCAAATGAATGAAAAAGCAGGATACAACTATATGATATCCATAAAATTACACTTTTCAATAGGTTGAAAGTAAATGAATGGTTAAAAAAACTATATACGTATACTATACAAAGTGTAAGCTTATAAAGGCTGGGGTGGCTATACTAATATCAGATAAAGTAGACTTAAGCAAAAAGAGTATTACCAGAAATAAAGAGGGACATGGCAAAATGATAAAAGGGTCAATGCATTAAGAGGCATAACCACCATTTGTTTATGTCTAATAACAGAGCTTCAAAATGTATGATATGAAAACTGACAGAATTAAAGAGCAAAATAAACACTTCTATAATTATACTTGGAGATATAAAAGCCTCTCCCTCAGTAATTGACATAAAACTAGGCAAAAATATTAGCAAGATACAGATTATCTGTACGCACCAATCAAGTTGATCTGATTGTTCTTTATACCCAAAGTGCAGGTGGTACATTCACATCAAGATAGAATATATGCTAATTTATAAAACATGTATTAATAAATTTATGATTAAAATCATAAAGAATATGTTTTCTGACTAAAATGGAATCAGTAACAATAAGATATCTAGAGAAAACAAATTTGGGAATTATGTAACATCTTCTAAATACATGGGCCAAAGAAGAAATCAATCGGGAAGTTAGAAAATATGTCAAACTAGGCCAGGAACAATGGCTCACACCTGTAATCTCAGCACTTTGGGAAGCCTAGACAAGGAGTATTGCTTGAGGAGTAGAGTTTGAGACCAGCCTGGGCAACATAGCAAGACTCTGTCTCTACAAAACAATAAAAATTAGCTGGGCATGATGGCATGCACCTGTAATCCCAGCTACCTTAAGGAGGCTGAGGGAGGAGGATTGCTTGAGCCCAGGAGCTCAACGTTGCAGTGAGCTATGATGATGCCACTGCACTCTAGCCCAGGCAACAGAGCAAGATCCTGTCCTAAAAAAAAAAAAAATTCAAACTGAATAAAAATAAAAATACAAT